GKTWYCTTACGAAATAGTTGTTATCTTCATAAACACTTTTTTAAGATAGGCAACACAATATTCTACGTTGATTCATAGCATAGTTTATACCTACGTGTCTTAAAAAATAATAAACTTTTGAAAATATTTAATTCAAAATTTAAACACACGTTTGAGCACAATGGTGCTTGAAAAGATTTTTTTGTAATCTTTACCATCTGATTCTTAAAGAATAAAATTAGTTACAATTACAACAAATTTTAGAGAGTGCATTATAGAATCATTTTAATAAAGTTGAAATAAAGCAATTTTTTTCGTCAAAAAATAATTTTTATTTTGAATTAAAAAAGTATACAATGAGAATTTTATTTTGCTGAACAGCAACACTATTAACGCTATGTATGTGCAATTAAAAAAAATCATATCATTGCATTACAAACAAGTACAACATATCCAAGCAACCCTAGCGACAATATTTGGAACAAGAAACGCATGTTCAGCAACATAAAATCTTCACTGTAGGTATATTTTTGCATTTTCTTTATGAATCTATGAATTAGGTTTGTTACATACATATTATTTTATTTTTGGGTTTTAATATAAAACATTTTTTCATACACAAATAAAATGTTAGTTACTTTGATTAAACAGCAAGGAATTCAACCATTCAGTTTCTCCAGTACAACAGGTGACGTTGACAACATTTTTCTTATTTGCSCTACAATGATTACAATGTATCGAGTTTTCTCCATTTTTTGTCCGTGATCAATTTTACTTCACCGTATATGGAAAATGTATATTCAACACCAGACACCTACACWCTAATTCTCATTTATTACAATAACATTTTACGATTACGATTTATTACRATTACAATTTATCAGATATAARAAATGGCAAATTTATKCGTTTCTGTTATTAACTATCATAACAACTGTTTTATTAATTRCCAGTTTGTTCTAAAGCTATTACACATCTCCTAGTTTAAAATAACTATCCGTTTCCATTCCCATCAATTTAAAAACCTTAATAGACTTAGTACAAAAATTAAACAAATTAGAATCATTTTTAGAAACACTTTTCTCACAGCGGCTGATTCATTTCGTAAAAAACTGTTTTCATTACGTAATAATTTGTTTTCATATAAATCACCACAAATAGCAAATCTCGATAGGAGATTACAAGCTGTGACATGGTTTCAAAAATTAACCAAATTTTTGCAAAAAGGAAGCCATTTCCAAGGCAGCCTACGCACACATTTTTATGATTGCTTCATTTAACAGTAAATCTTAAGTTCAACATTGACATAGACAAATCCTTTAAATTTTTGTGCCACGCTAATATGAGAATTATAAAGATCATCTGTAGCTCGAGGCTAGCAGTGACCGTGAGGGTTGCACAAAGACAAAATGAACACTTTTACTTAATATTTAAAATTAATTAGTTGGCATTTTAATTTCTTAATTTTTATTATTGAAGCAACCAGCAAAATCTAATAATTTTACTATTGCTATATTTTTTTATACGTTATATATACGTTCTGTTGGAGACCACCTATGAAACCATTATTTTTGGTTTGCTCATAATATTGTCACTTCCACTGAAATTAGTATACTTACAACTATACTCGTATTTTACAAAAGTGAATTTAAAAGGTAAACATTAATCGTATTTGATTCATGTTTGTCAAATAAACACTCTTTTTTTTTTTAAATAAAATTTCAATAATTTGGAGAATTTTACAATGGACTTGATTGGTAGTCGTATACTGTGAAATTTACAGCTTTATGTTTAAATATTTTTTTTATTTTAAATACATTTTTTTGTCATTATTGAGTAATTTGTTTAAGTCTAATTTAATTTACTGTTTATTTAGATTTATGGAAAGAAATAAATATTTTAAGAAATTTACGATTGTAACTTAAATCAACTGTTAAAACTGTTATAAAAGATGATTTATTATTTTCATTATCAATAAATATACTTATAGAGTATWCCAGGGTGATATGGTGAATCGGGTGAAATGGTGATTTACTCTGTTTTTTAAAATTTCACATTTTATAAAAATTTAGTAAAATAGCACTAAAAAGGAAGTSGATTGGATAAAATGTATTAGATGCCAACTTTGCACAAAGAYTGTACAATTTAATAATATAAATATATGTAATATTTGGGGTTAAAAGCAGAAAAAGTAAGTTACCATTTCACCCATATGCATGGGTAAAATGGTAAATTTGGTAAAAAACAAATATATTTTTTTTTCAAATTGTTGCTATGTCTCTAAGAGGTTATAGTATTTTTATTTTGTCTATATTAACAATTTCTTGTGTTCTGTAGGGCTCAATTTTTTTGTTCACCATATCACCTTGCTTTACCCCACATAAAAATGCATTTAGAATCATTGAAATTGCAAATTCAAACAACATGATTGCCTGTCAACTAGTCAAATATTTGTTTCCTCGCATCTTCCGCAAGCATTCTTGTGTCATAGTAAAGCAACTAAATATTATCATTTTGACATCTTTTAGGTTATTCTCACTCATCACGATTAGGTACATAATAGCAATAATTCAACACGTATTTCACCTAGAAAGGTTGCCGTCATCATGTGTCATAACTCATAACAGTTTTAATATTGTCTTCATTGGTGTCGAAAGTTACATAAATCTCTCTCATCTCATCTATTTCTGCGCTCATTTCTCACTTTTTTCCGGTGCTTTAATTTTACACGAACAGAAAAAAATGCAATTCTCAGTAAGCATCACGCTCTCAAATCCTTAATTAAGCAATTTCACAATGCGATGCGAAAATGTCTCTTAATCGCATGAAGACAGATCATGCAATGAACCATGTTGAAATTGATTGTTTTCCCAATTCCAGTAGCTGTATTAATCGGAAAATTGAAAATTTTGTCTCGCAATGACCTAAAATAGGTAAGACACAAAGGTCAGCTTTCATCGTGTTTATAACATCCAATAGTATTTTGAAATGTTTACCGATAATTAATTATATTTATTTTACACGCGAGTCTTCAAATATTTAACTGTCTGCATGACAAGTAATAAATGTAATTTTATTTATCGAACTGTAAAGTTGGTGTTGGTAAACAGGCCTTGATTCGGCCCTGATAAACCCGGTGAARAAGCAAATCAAGCAATTAATTAATGTTTCGTAATTGGCATAAACCTTTATTTATTAAAATTATTGCTAAAAAAGGTAATTGGGCAAAATTTTGTAAATTTCCATTGAGAGCAATAGAGCCATTACAGAGTTGGGTTAATAATAGTAATTTCGCATCGATCGTATAAAGGAGTTAAAATTTGCAACCTACTTTTGTTCGATGATAACAATTACGAGTAGGTGTGAGCCAACAAATGAATGAATGATCGACAGGACCGGACTGTATTCAATTAACCCCATATTGCATGTCGAAGTGAAAAGTCGATTATTATCTAACTCGTTGCAGAGAAGATAACAATGCCTTCAAATGATCTATACAAAAATCAATATTACGCATCAATCTTCTACAATTGAATGTCAATTTACCCATCGTCTTTAAACCGTATTTCGCCACATTATCTAAAGTTCATGTGTGTTGCATGTAATGATTATTTAATCTTCTAATAATAGTTTTAAGGTATTATATTGCCTCCTTCAATTGGGRAGGGATAACTCAACTTAGTATAAATACGAAAATTTCACTAATAAGTTTAGTTCGACGCTCTTTTTCAACAAAACCAAAATGAAAGTGGTAGGTAATCCTCCAACCGGTGTTAAGTGTTTGAGTGTTAAGTGACAATTTCTTGGACTATCACCTAATTCGATATTAGTAACGTGAGTACTTTTCGCAGATAATTGCTCTCTGTGCCCTTATCGCGGCCTCTCACGCCCAACAACAGGCAACCAGTGAACCCATTCCCATAGTCAAGTACGACAACGAAGGAGTCAATGCTGATGGGTCATACCAATGGAGGTTAGTCTTAGAAACCCAAAAAATCCACCTTAATTTATTTATTACAGCTACGAAACTGGAAACGGCATTAATGCACAAGAACAAGGACAAATAAAAAATGCCGGCTCTGAAAACGAAGCTGCTGAAGTTCAAGGATCAGCTTCGTGGACGGCTCCTGATGGCACTGCCATTTCTCTGAATTATATTGCTAACGAAGATGGATTCCAACCTCAGGGTGATCATTTACCGACTCCACCCCCAATTCCTCCAGCGATCCAAAGAGCTTTGGAATGGATTGCCGCCCATCCTGAACCGGAGGAAGCAGCCGCTCCCGCTGCAAGCAATTTGAAACCAGTTTATAAAAAAATCGCCCCTCAACAAAGGAGATTTTAAGCTGTTTTCTTGTAAATAAATTTTATTGTGTAAATATGTTTTTTTTTTACTCGAGCAAAGTACACTGTGAGTAAATAAGCAATTAATGCGTTACTCAAGTCCATTAGTGAGCTTTAATAAACAAGTTTTAACTTTAATGTGATTGAAGTACGCGCATTTTGCTTGAACCAGTTGTGTTGTAGTGCAACTACAAAATGAAAGTTCCCCAACCTGGACTACTCTTGATTCAACCCCAAAATAATTTTCACAAATCTCTGAGATTCCTTTTTGTAATCGCCCAAATATTTGGATATTTTCCGGTTCAAGGTGTTTCGGAAGAAAATGTAACTGGGATAAGCTTTACTTGGTTTTCTTTGAGAGTATTGTCGTCACTATTAACAGCGTTTTTGGGAATTGTAGTAATTTTTGCACAAATTAGATTTATGAAACTTATAACAGGCTATGAGCAGGCACAAATGAGTAAGATTATTAATTAAATTAGCTTTTATAAATCAATAACCTGTAGATGCGATCGTATTTTATGGTTCTGGAACGTTGTCAAGTTTTCTTTTCATAAAATTAGCTAAAGATTGGCACGAAATTATGACCAATTGGAACCAATTAGATARGGCATTGATATCACACGGTTGGCCTAAAGGTTTAGATAAAACTTTGAAACGTATTGCTATAATTTTCTTAGCACTTGAAGCTGGTATTGCATATTTTGTTATTTATTTTTTTTAAACATTTTTTTTTTGTAGCTGAACACTTTACAATTCAGGCTAACAAACTTATAGTGGCAGTGAGTTGTCGTGGATCATTTTCTAAAGGTTTCCGATACTTTGCTGTCGAAATGTCTTTTGCAGTGGTTTTCGATTTTGTCGATTATGCTCATTGGCTCGGCATAATTTTTCAGCTAATGAACACCAGAATGGCATTTGCGTGGACTTTTCTCGACCTGTTTATTATTTTGGTCAGTTGTGCTTTAAGTGAGAGGTTTCGTCAAATTAACGAGCGAATTCAACACTTAACAAATATTAAAGTATCTAATTAAAATAATTTTCAAGTTGTCAACATCAATTTTTGAACTTTTTAGTCAAAACACTTCAAAGAATGGACTGCAWTAAACGAAGATTATAACCGTCTRTGCTTATTTTGCGATTATTTAGACGATAAAATTTCATGGCTTATTTTAATTTCTTTTTTCAACAATTTTTATTTCATTATTTTTCAAGTGCATTTGAGTCTGAATCTTGTTCTGGCACCGCCGTTAGAAATTATTTATTATTTAATTTCTTCAAGTTTACTCATTCTGAGAATGGTGTCTGTCTGTATTTATGCAAATCGAGTATATGAAGAAAGTAAATTACCAGTGGACATTCTTTCAGTTGCTCCTTTAGAAATCTACAATCAAGAAGTAGGATATAGGTACTCTGCTATTACCTAATTTTAACCTGAAATTATAAATTTTAGAACGTCAGACTTATTGTAACTGCTAAGTATCAAACTACAGGGCTTACGGCCAGAAAAATGTTTCTTCTTACAAAAAATCTTATTTTTGGAGTAAGTTTAAAATGAATAATCGGTGATGTTTTATGCTATTTATATTTATTTAAGATTGCTGGCGCAGTACTTGCTTATGAATTAATAGTGATACAACTTAATAAAAATCAGCCAAGGAAGCAACAACCATCTCTTTATTCATTGTGTTAAAAAAATTAAAAATAAGAAAATTTMATGAAAAAATGTCTGGATGTTTTATGTGTAAGCAACACGAGCTCTATAATAAAAACTGAATAAATCACAGAAATTTTTAACTTACTCTTACTCATTTTAGTTTTTATCAATTTTGTATTGGATAAACTCTTATAAATTAACTCCAGTGTGCAAAGCCGCATACTTACCAATTACATTAAATTTAACGGCTTAGAACGTTTTTACTGCCTTTGCAACTTATTAACAATAATTGTTTTAATTCTTTTAGCCTAATATTACTAAATTTGAGTACATTTTATATAAAAATAAAAGCTATGAAATAATTGTTACTGTTTGACAGGTAAATACGTGTATAAAGATTCACACAAAATTCAAAACTGTGTATCCCGTCAATCCATTAGTTTATAAACATGTTTAGTGTACAAATATAATGTTTTGTGCTTATCATTTGCATCGCTTTGTAGTACTAACAGCACTTTCTAGACATACAACTGGTGTTAAAATAAATATAAAATTTTCCTAAGTCACTAAATACGTTTTTTTTCTTTATATTTCCAATAAAAATATAGTATCTCAACCAACATACGTTAATAGACTTTAACATAAGATCATAAAAGTCAATACGTAAGACTATTTTTATGTTATCAAAAAAAGATTTTCTTACGTTTTTAACAAGAACATAACTTTTCAAATTAAGATTTTGTTAAAACTTCCGCTACATATAATAGAAAACAATTTGCATGCTTTTATTGACAACACTACCAAGTGTATTGCTCTTGTTTGAAGACGAAACCACAAAAAAATAAAATCTTAGTAAGCGTAATCCCCTTTCACTTCCAAGSAAAATGTTCACTAAACTTGCTCTTTGTATTCACAAGCAAAATATTTTTGAAATACTTATTTAATATTTTACATCACCARCAATAAGGGAAAGTAATTTGCTTCATTACAACAAGTTCTCCTATTAGTGTGAACGGTAAAAAATAAATAAAGCCGCTTTCCTGAATTACAAAATATTTAGTCAGTCAACAGAAAAAAAAATGCATTCTTGGTAATTATATATTAAAAATATGTAAATATATAGTCTTATTTGAATTTATTTTTTTTACTTTTTATGCAAAAATAGGTGTCCAGATTTTTAAGTAACAGGTAATGAAAAAAWATTCACAAATTTAGGAACTGATTAAAGTCTACAAATTATTTTTTTAATTTGTTAGATTCCAGTTTTCAAATAAATCTAAATTAAAAAAATACTCTTTTCGTTTTCGTTTACCTAATYATTTGTTTGTCGATCTTCTAAATAATACCTTCTTAATTAAAAGAAATTATTGACATCTTCTCTATAACCCAAGAACATATGGATTAATTTATTTTACAAATGTGAAACTATATTTAAAGAGGAGAGTTTGGTATAAAAGCGAATCCAACCAGCTATTGTACTATCAGTTTCTATACCAASTTCCGACACTGCACTGTGTTTAATCAAAATGTGGCAGGCAAGTTAAAACCCTCAAATAATTAATATGCCAATTAATAATGCTTTTCAAACCTTCAGCTTATCGGATTACTCTCTCTAATTGCCATCGCTGCATCCGCCGATATCCCCGATTACCAATCGATCCAGGAAGTCAAAAAACCAATTGTTCCCATCTTAAAACAAACTTTCGACCAAGACCACGAGGGCTATCAGTTTAGGTAAGAAAAAAATCGATTTTTTGCACCACTTATAGATGAAAGTGCAAACAACAATCTGGCACGACTTTCACAACATCTGCCTTACGTCTCTCAAATCAAAATTATTAATTAATTTTACTACCTAATCCACAATTAGTGCGTGGTAAAAATATTCGTTTAATTAGCTATGAAACGGGCAACGGCATCCACGCGCAGGAATCGGGCTATTTCAAGAATAAAGGCGACAAGAAACACGAAATTTTGGTGCAGCAGGGCACCATTACCTACCACGACGAGCATGGGCATCCCATAACCTTGAGTTATATTGCTGATGAAAACGGGTTCCAACCACAAGGAGCCCATTTACCCACGCCTCCTCCGATTCCAGAGGAAATTCAGAAGTCGCTGCAGGAAATTCACCAACAAGAGCAGTACCAGCAGTCTGAGGGTTTACAGGAGTATGCACAGGAAGGGCAGGAGTATCAGTGATTATTAGTTTTGTTGATTTGTTTGTTAAGTTTTAAATAAAGTTTGATTATTTTGATAAGGTTTWTGAAATAAAACGCTTTGATAAAAGTCAATATGACTAAGGGAAGAATGCAGTCAGCCCTTTTTTATTTAATTGAAAATATAAAGTGATAGACACATCGTTACACATTCGATTCCATATAAATCTAGAAATTTTGTTTAATGCTCATACAAATGTCTGCATAATTACAAATAGTATTTACGAATCACTTAAGTTGAACAAGGCACGCAAAAATAGTTTAGAAAACTTTTTATAAATTCATATGTAAAAGAGCTAAACATTTAAAATTTGAATTTTTAAACAAACATTTCGTTTCCATATCTACAACCAATTTGTCTCCCGCCTGCAAGAGAATTACAAAAAATTAAATATTATTAGTACTTCATCATGAGCAGGTGTCAGTGTCCGTAAAATTTCGCAAAAATATTTTGATTAAATGAAATTGTTTAACCTAGAAAACCAAATAACTGTATTTTATAATGTTTRGGTGCGGGCACCGAGACCTGGTCAAGGATGATGGAGCCCTAAAGACGCCAACTTTGCGGAATTATGTTTAACTAAGTMGTTTCGCAAAAGTTGTCAMTGATAAAATTGTGGGCTCAAATCCGAGAACGATATAGGTATAAGCTACAACTAAATATATTTTGCCTCTAAACGCTTACAACAAGTCAAATATAATGATAAATTATTTAGTTTTGTTTGCTTCACCTTGTCTGTGTTTGCTAACAAGAGCACCCCACACCACTAAGCAAGTACATGTTTATAAAATATTTAGTCTAAAACCTAACATAACAATTATTTACATCGCCATTTGGTAAATGGGAGAGAAGTAAACATAACAAATTTCCGAATAGTAAGAGGTAACTAACAACAAAATGCGAACAAGATGAAATAAACAAACAACTGTAGATAAAATCTGAGAAAAACTCCAACAGCGAAAATGTTCTCAAACACAGCTTTTCAAGATCACGCGATTAGAATAGTAATAGTCGACACTTTAGTCAAGCATGACCCAGTCTGTGCATTGGTATGTGTTGTAAAAATATGTCCTAATATACAATTCTCATCAATTGTCTAGTTGGTGGGTAATCGGCTGAAACACGCGTCCTTTGACGCCCAGCCTGTACTATGTTAGTAGCTTGAAGAACATGATGGCCAGCGATATATTGATGAAGAGCACTACAATCACCAGCTGTTGGCGCGAGAGCCAATCCTGTAACAAACGATGGTCAGCAACAGCGATCACTTTTCACTTTTAACTCAAAGCTTTTCGGTGCGAAAGCTCCTGACGGTTTCTTTCAAGTTCGCTTAAGCAAGGTGCTACAACGTGAAAGAAACTTTTTCGAGATGATTAATGCAAACTTACATTGTCTGCGGTTATTTAAATCCCAAACGAACATGCAGCAGCCCTAATGCAAAACTTACAGCAATTTATTTTTTATTTACTCCGAATACAAAATATGTACTCCTATTTTTTATTTATTTTCTTCTGGAACTTTTGATATGCGAATGAAATAACACACACTGTCTTCCCAAACGCCGTGTTTATAAAAAACGTTTAGTGTTTGAAAAGAAATTACGTAAGTATATCTTTTTCTATATACCTTGACATTGTTATTGTAAAACTAAACTGTGTATTCATGCTTTTCACAATTAAAAGAATGTTGTGCTCAAGTTGAAGACATTTAAAAAGAAAAATTAAAAAGTTTTGTTTAGTCAAAATGCCTCTTCGTGATACAAAAATGTAGTACACTATTTATTTGTATTGTCCTAAGTTAAAGTGTAGTTTTATTATAACTCCGTAAAACCTTCAAGTATTACATTTAAAAAATCCAACTGAAACAGTCTTAAAAACACTCTTTAGATAAGATAAAAATTAAATTAGAGACGCATTTCAAGTCGTTAATTTTATTTCACCTTAGTAATTGATGGCGGCGCTGACAAAGCAGTTATTTACGAACAAAATAATACAAATGTAATTTCAAAACTCCTAGTGCATTTCCTCTTTTCTTCAAATTGCTTCTCAATTGTAGTGTAAAATTTCCAGCGTTCAATTGGTGAAGTTTTGTCGACGCATGTGGTGTAAATGTAGCTTAAAATTCTTAATCGTGGAATTGCGCCAGCGATTACAATAACCTCGACAATAAAGTTAAAAAAATCCGTTCGAATCGTTTCGAAAAAATTCCAGCGTTTGAACAATAATTCATAAATGTCGTTGAAAATAGAAAAGCGGCGATTTTTCGAGGCGCATTATGTTATTTAGCCTAAGTTACATATAAAGACATTCAAACGACAACACTATAAATAAAACATGCTCCGTATTCAGGCGCTGTCTCAAGCTCAATTTAGTGCGAAAGCTAAAGTGAAATGCATTTCAACAAGTGCAGGAACGTTAGACTCGACCTAGGTAATAACCAAAAGGGTACGAAAACAGCCACGATTAACAGCAACCATATACAGTCACAACAAAAACAGCAGTAAAACAGTAGTCTAGAGCTCTAACATACCTATCGGATCTCTGTAATGCGATAGCAAGGAAAACAAACATATTACGTAAAGGTTCATTTCACAAAAGAGTTGATCCACTAGTGATTTACCAAATGTTACGTTTAGTGAAATGAAATGAAAAGGTAATGGTACATACAAAAGTGGATAGGTTTTAATGAAATGCAGAACAGGAGACAAAGACTCGAGTTTCATATTCGCCACAAGCTGAGATGATTGAGAGAATGTAATCCAATATTCTGTTTGCATGATAATCTAATAACACCACCAAGAACTAAATCAGTTCTTCGGTCAAATTTAATTCAATCATTGCAACTCTAAATGCATTCAGATAATTTTCTGGTAAGTGACTGGTGGATCAAGCTGACGATGCGATATCGACTACTTCTCGGAAACCTAGGTAAAGTCGAACTCAGGAAAACAGTGCGAGGCATTAGTCGAGAAAACTCAAAGTGTCACCATTCTTAGAGGGGTCCGGAAAGATCAGCTCTGGCGAGTCGATCCCCGAAAAAAATTTTTCGAAAGAGGTAACAAAATTACCTTCACTTGCGGACTGACTAGGTAGAGGAGCGGATTGGCACGAAGTCGTTCTTTCTCTTCGGCCTGGCGGCGAACCTCCTCTCTGCGCGCCGACCCAAGATAGGACACCTCCTCCCTCGACATGGCACCGGTCGCCCTCGGCAGATCCTGAAAATCGGGCAGTGATTTCTTGCGTTGCAACGAAGTCTGCGTCACCAGATTCTGCCAACACACATTACAAATCAAGCTCCTAATTCGAAACGACGTGAAAAATTTCAAAGGGCAAGGCTTCAGACTGCTGAAGAAACCAGGAAAAAGCTCATACAGATCAAATTTTGACTATATTTAAATACAATAAATTGATAAAGCAGTTTACTTTAATTTAAATCAAATGAAATTGACGTCAAGTAATTTTTAACTTTCAATATCTAAAAGTCTGCTGCTATTTTCTCTTTTTGCTATCTTATGTTTTATTTTTGTTATGTTTATATAATGAATTTTTATATTGATGTTTCTTTGTTTTACAAGAGGCAGTTCGGAATAATTAAGATTACAAAATACAAAACATGTTTCATTTTAATAGCCACAGAAGTATTTAAGAAAGAATTACTTTGCATTGCAAAGCCAAATTCGTCATAATTCATGACACTAAAATGCAACTGCAATTAAATGTTATGCAAACCTGAGCTTATATTCTCAAAGTTAGTTAATAATTTTAGTATTATATCAAACCGTTTTAACAAAAAAATAGGCCTAAATTTTCACTATCCAATAGTAATTTTTTATTCTATCAGTCAAAAATAAATATGCTTAAGCATCAAGATACATAAAAAATAATGTCAACAAAACCAGTTTTATTATATCAGAATAGAACAAAAATATTCAAAGTATTTATTTTGTCTATAAATTGATGTGAGTTTATATTGAGACTTGTTGGTATTTGAATCCAAAAATATTTTTTTCAAAACGTCCAAAATACACAGGTTCGTTGCACCCATTACTCATACCTGTTAAAAAAATTATTTCTTGAAACATTAGGAAAAATACTAAAGTTCTTGTGTCTAAAAAAAGAATTAATTCAGAAATTTACTTCTGATTTCAAATGTCGCCTTGATAATTCCGCCGTACTTACAATCCGAAGTCTTAATCTACCTCTGAAACTTTTCAACGTCCACATTACCCCAAGCGTAAGAGTCAACCTCTACAGGTGGTGTATCAATCCAGCTTTCGGAGGCYCGTCGTGCCATGAGGGCGGGAGAAAACATGAGGTTCTCCTCCTCGTCATCGTCTTGGTACCACAACATGGTGCACGAGGTTCGCCACAAACTGACGACTCAGACTCGTGTTATTCAGTGTTGTGATATAATTACCGTCGCCAGCACTGCTAAAGCGACGCTTTTAGACGCCTTCTGCTCCCCACCCTCTATGGCACCGTACTGCCAACACTAGAACACTTATAGACGCACAGCCGTGCCATGTATTCGTCATTCAATGTCAAATTTCTACAAAATGCAAGCAGCTCCGAGACGGCAAAAATCCGCGACAACACGCGGAAGTGACGGCAATGCCAAAAGGAGCACCAGATAAGACCAACCGAGGCGGAAAGGAGCAGTCGCACCCGGTTTTAGGCACAATTTAAGTTTCAGAACAAAAGCCAAATTATTTCGACAGCTGGCAGGACAGTTGGATAAAAATCTCACTTTCGATCGGTTCTATAACGCGGATATAAATAAAATGATTTTTTTTGTGGCATAAAAACAAGCATTTTTAGCATTTTTTGAAAATAGGTTTAAAGAACTGTTATTAGAGTAATATATTCAAGATAAGAAAATGTTCGAACAGCAACAAATAAAAAAAGACCGAATAAAATAAATTAACAGCAGTAACTGCTTGTTACCACATACAGGGAGTCAATTTTAAAACTTGCAATCGCCAATATCTCTAGAACTAAAAAAGTTATTGAAATCAAAATGGCTCCTCCACCCACCCTTCAAGCCACAGCCACCTTAAGTTGAAAATTTTAAATAGCACGACCCTACTTACGATATATCGTTGGAAAGCCCATAACAAGCGCTTTTCAAAAATGTCATACACAGCCTATTTGGTAAAGTTATTTTTCCAACATTTCATTTTTTTTACTATATTCAAGGGTGGGTGAAGGTGTGTCACTTATCATGTCATTTTAATTCCCTCTAAGAACCACCAAAACAGTTTTGAGTGATTATTAATAACTTTTTCAGTTGAGAGAAATTGCCGATTGCAAGTTTTAAAATTGACACAGTGTATATCCTTTACAGTATTAGAATCATTATATTCAGCGATTAGAGCTAAAAGAGACAAAACATTTTTAATTTAAATAATATGATAAGGAACGGATATAACTTTTAAAAGCCAAAAATCGTAAAAACGTCACTGATAGATACACCATCTGGTAGACCTCAGAAAAATTTGATAAAAATCAAGCCCAAAACTTGGTTAATTAAACCCATCACTGACCTTAGGCGCTTGCGTCGTTGGCGCTCCAGGAATGAATAGGCTTTCAGTCCGTTTCGGTTGGTTAGGAGAAGGAATGATATCCTGGCCCAGTCCTCGCTTCCGAATGATGATTTCTTCAAACGGCGGTGGCTGTCCGGGATTATTCCCAGCCAACTTGGCGTTACTTCCCGCTGCACTTCCGGTCAACACCGATCCGTTCTTCGTGTTGGGATTGCTTGGAACCGGAGTTGTCCCTCTTGCGACCGACGGCGCTCGTAAAGATCTATCAGGAGTTTCGGAAGGACGAGACGAGCGCTCCACTGACGGTTGTCTGGAACCGACTGTGCTACTCATCCTTCCCGTCGCCCGTGAGTATCTATCTACACTCGAGTCTCTACTGGGAGGCCTTTTGTAGTGATCAAAGTGATCTATCGAAGACTGTTGACCTAAGTTTCCTAAGTACGGCCTATCCCCGGAAACCCGTCTCGACGCCCTCCGCAGCGAACTCACTTGCGGAGAGATATCCTCGGCAGGAAGAGAATTCCGAGGCTTGTTTCCGGGAAATTCGTTGGTGATTTTATTGTCCGGTGAGAAGTTTTGCTGCGGACCGAACTCGTTGGACACACTGTTAGTGTTATTATAAGCGTTTTGGTTTTGTTGTAGATTAAAACCTACGGTTTGTTGTTGGTGATAGTTGTCCGGCTTGGCGCCGTACAAGCTTTGGTTGTGTGGTTTGTTTGGTATTTGGTTCGGTATTTGGTTGATTTGATTCGAGAGTGGTTTGTTTACTTGATTTGGCGTTTGATTAGGTATTTGGTTGGGAATTTGATTCGGTATTTGGTTGGGAATTTGGTKCGGTACTTGATTTGGAATTTGGTTATGTGGATTCTCTTTTTGGTTTAAGGTAACGTCTGTGTTGATTTGGTACTTGTTTTGTCGAGCTTTCAGCCTTTCGAGTCCCGGTTGTTTGAAATCGGGCGCATATTGTTTGGCAACGGCAGTGGCTACGTCGGAGTCTTCTCTCGCCTGAGCAGCTGCTAAGTCGGCTTGTTCGGCTTTACCTCTCGCCGTTGCCGTTCTCGATATCGCAATATCTGCTTTCTGTAACGCTATTTTCGATGCTCTTTGAGCGGCGTTCACCGCGGCATCAATTCTTTCCCTAAATTTAGCTGATCTCATTAAAAACAGTTTCTTCTTTTGGCTCGTTATAAGGACGTTGTTCTTGTATTTGCCTTCTTCTTTCTCCCCGTTACTAAACGTGGTTACACCGTAACCGTATTTTTTGTTCGCATACCATTCACCTTCGTATTTGAGACCATCGGATCTCTCGCTAATGCCGAAGCCTGATCTTTTATCGTTTTTCCATTCACCCATGTAAGTTTCAGTAACTTTAGGATCCATTTGCTCGTCCTAAAAATATAATAGTTTATACTACAGAATTCGACTCAATTCGAACGAGTTCAGTTGGCCCTGCCACTTCACATTTTTCTCAGATTCACATTAATTTAAGGCGGCGTTGACAGACACCAGCATTTTATAATGCTCAACCTATTACTTAATCCGAAAGCTTCCACATTTTTATGACGTAACAAAAATAAGTCATGACGGCTTAGAAAACAACTTTAAATAACTTAATTTAATGTCCTCTGAAAAACCTCCATGTGATTATAATGGCCATAATATCCGACTTTACAACCGTACGACAAATTGGAAAATTTAAGTTTACTAAGCAGTGGCGTAGCTACATCTTTAAAACTGAAATTCGGAGAGAAAAATTCTTAAAAAATACATGTTTTGTAAAATTAATTAAAAATCYCTATTTTTCTGTGTATCAACTCTCACTAGTATTCAAACTTAATAAACGGCATACCTCTACAACGAAACTCGCATTGGAATCGGACGGTATAGAAGCGTTGGTCATGCCTGATTGTGCCGAATCAGTGCTAACCCAAGAGGCTGATGATCCTGTCGATCTGATACTTCCAGATCCTCCACCACCTCTTTTTTCTAAATCGCCAGTACTTCGTTGCTTTTTCAATTTCAACCCCTACAAACGCAGAGTTATACCCWATAAATAAAGAAAAAGAAATCCCAACCATGAGCAATCCTTTTTTAATATTTCCGGAGCCGAGGGATTGCCTCCTTTTCGTGGGTTCAGACGAGTTCATTTTAAGGACGAAGCCTCCTCTGGAATCATCAACTCGCCGGTCTCTTTTTTCAGCTGCTTCTGGATTTGCACCCGTATTGCCTTCATTACTGCGTAGCGACGTTAGTGACGCCCTTAATGTCTTGTTTGCTCTATATTTGGACGCTTTGCCGAATGGTGCACTGTTCCTTACACCGTAGCCATGTCTCATGCCTCTCAGCCATTGTCCTTGATAAGTGCCTGCAAACAAAGAGTGCAATTAATACGCAATCGGCCGGAAGAAAGACAGGAAAAAATTTAATGATCCAATAATCTTATCGCCAACGCAGCACATTTTACTCCCGACTTAATCCATTCAAATCGTGATATTTATCATCAATATTATGAAAGCTATTGCTTACTATCAATATCATTTTTCCAGGACTTGATGCGACAGAGGTGTCAATATTTTCATCGTATCGTGAAAATATACCTTCAAGTCTATTTATGCAAAGCAAATCGATGGAATTATCCTAACTGTAATTTTCCTCTCTTAAACCAATTTCAATTAATTATCAAAAATCGATTCATTATCATAAACGAAGACGCTGGATGTCAATATTAGTCCAAGCGGAATACCAAGCTATCAATGAATGAATTGACGTAATTTCGCATATGTATCTATGCAGTGTGTGTATATTTAACTACGATGAGCCGATGGCTGAGTCCGGTTTATTTGTGGACATTTGCACGATTTTTAAATTTGCTACTTCTCAACGTGCCACTGTAGAAATTATAATTAGATAGACACAAAATATTACGAAACGGCCGAATAAATAGAAATTTTTGAGCTCTTATCGTCAGCACTGACTAACAAAACCCTTTATAATTACCAACTGTTGGCTTAAATTTAACTTGGCTGTAATCGATGTATTGTTACAGTTTTAATCCAGAAAACTACAGATTTAATACGCGCTACTGAAACCTACTAATAGGAAATGTTACAGGATTAAAAAAACATCAAGGAGATTATCTAGGAGCTTAAAGAGTTTTTCTTGTAAATTTTGCTGATATTTTGTCAAGAAAGAAAATACAATAAATATTAATTCCGACATCCGCATAGCAACAACATCTTTTATGTCCTAGGCGTATTTTCCTGTTGGGATTCTCATAATTACAGCCAAGCTACACTACCCTTACATTCTCTTAATGAACACATAAATCGATACTAATGACATTTAATCAAATATAATTGTTATTAGAAGTTTCTGCAATATTTTGTGCGACTCTAGAAACCCATAAATACGAATAAAAGTATTCCCTTGACGTCGCTGTCGTGGAAAAGCTAATGATACAAACAAGTATTTGTTTGTCTTCCCTGACTCGACTAGTAAATGTCAAAGAAGAAGAATAATTTCTGTGTCACCAGTAAAAATTGTACAGATTAGAGATAATGAACAGTGGTCAGGTGGCAATAAAGGTTTCCAGTAGAAAATCGATGTTTCTTCATTTTGCAAAGGCGACAAAAATGACTGCAAATGATTAATAATCTTATTCTAAAAAATCAATTTTTATACATATTTCAAAATCATTTTTAAGGCTGAAAATGTGATGAAAGTTCCCCCAGAGACACATATATCCCGCCAACAAAAAAAATTAATTTGGCTCTTATGGGATTTGAGTACAGCCACATTTTATTTATAACTCGTTTTACTGTTATATTTTTATGAATTCAATTTGAAACTGTAGAAAATTGTTAATGGACTGGATTTGAACCGTTTATTTGAGTTATTAGATCATCAAATATCGTTTGCAATTGTTTGTTCAGTCAAATCGCAAATTACGACCTTTTAAAAATGGTGGCTTTAATTTTTTTTTCAACATCATGTGCTTTATTTGAGCTAAATTTCAGAGTTTCAGGTGAAATAATCGTGTTGTATATTTTTATTAGTCTGTTCAGAAGAGGATATTGTACGAAATTTGTTAAATTACCAGAAAGAGTCTCGATTATTTATTTTACACATTATTCAAAAAATTTTAAATAGTCAAAAACATAAATATTTTTTAGTTCTCTCTTGAAATCTCAAACAATATCAATATAGTTTTTACAATATGACAATGTATGTATAAATAAATTAAAATAATTTAAAAAAATATTAGATATAAATAATTCATAAAATAATAGTCTCAACACGCTAATAAGCACAAATTTAAATTTGTTAGCACTAACAAATATGCTGTATTCCTGAACAATGCGATTATGTTAACAAAATCCAGTAATTTTGGCACGTTTGAACTTGTATCCGTGCCTAAAATTTTGGATTCCTTCCAACCTCAAAATGCTCCTTTTCAAAATTTCAAAATGTAATCGTATTAAAAATGCAATTTCCTAAATCAAATAAAAATAATATAGAAGAATTGTCATCTGATCTGTTAACAAAACAGACGTAATAAACATCTCTTATCTCAAAAATGATGGATGAAGTAAATAACAGATAGCTCGTTTAAAACTTTGTGCTATAGCTGAACTTTATTACCGAGAGAATAAAATATTGTCGACCATTTTCGCCATTTATGACAGTGTTTAAAGAACCCTATCCGGAATGTAACAATTGCCTCAATAGAATCGAGTAAAGGCAGCTTTTAGCTCGACCTATTGTGCTTTAACATGATATAAAAATGCCGCAATCTAATTATAAAAATAGATTTGAATATAGCGATATAGTTTGCCAAGACAACCGCAATATTTACAGTCGACAACACATAGTCAGGGATAAAGTAGCCAAGGTAAGAAACGGTCTTTAATTCGTTTTTTTAGGTTAACACAGTTACTCCCGTACTTATCGACGTGATAAATTTTTAATAGAATCGGGGGAAATGTTGGTCAATTCGAATGATAAGAGTCGGGAAAAATTGGGTTATTTTCATGCTATTTTGAAGTGAAAGATTTATTGTCTTTGGCAGACATCGAGATTTCTTTAATAAAAGAGCTCTCTGTTATATGGTCGTAATATTTCCCATTGCCATTTATAGAAATTCATCTTCAAAGAATGAGAAAAATTCCTCGCAATTTTCAATTTTACCTTACAAAGAACAATTTATGCAATTTGGTTTTTATTATAAAAACATTTAAGAATTATTTGTACGTAAAAGATTAATAATCATCTTACAATTGAAAGCTGAATTTATATTTGAACTGTGTATATATTGCTGGAATCGGTCCAAAATGTTTGATGTAGAAAACGAAAACTGCACCTGATATTAGTTACATCACTGAAACCATATAGAAATTGCTAAAGTTTTAATTTTGTATTTAATCGCACGTAAATCTTGCAAACGTCGTCGACATAAAGTATATTCTAAGGCGACCATAAATCATTAACTTTCTCGGGTTTTATCATTCAAACTTCATTACCTGTGGTAATGCTAAAAATAAGACTGAAAGAATATTCACAATTTTATTGAAAACTAAATTCCCCAGTTTTTACTATACGTAATACAATCCTTAGATCTTATAAGCCCAAGTAAATGTCGAAACGAAATGTAAAACTTGCTTTCGCTGAAATGATTTTTTAAAGTAAAAGCTCTCACGCAACTTTCTAAGTCTGTCAAAGCTAAAATTTATCTTCCAGACGTTTAAAGAAAGGAAATGGTGATAAAGTATGACTTGTCTTCCAAGCTTGCAGCTGATGGTCCTAGCTTAGGAAGTGAAATAATATTTCATAAAATTGTTCCGCAGTGATTATTATCCTCCTGTGAAATTCACAGCAGCATTTATAAAGTCATGATTTGCATAAAATTTTAAAATTAACAACTTTAGCGTTGGTTTGTAGATTTTAACAAATCTACCCTACCAGTGTAAAATAATTAGTGTTCGGAAAAGCAATTCCGTCATGCAAATAGTCAGGAAATGTCTGCGACCCCTGTATTAATTAATATTCAGAATAAAATTGTTATCTAAAAAATGCAGAATAAAACTATTTTTCTTTGTCAACACAGTGTTAAAAATTCTCTTTCATCTAATCGTTCAATTATGAGTCACATAATTACAATTATGCTAATAGTGATGTTGTAATTTGTAATTTTTGGTTGAAAAGTTAAAAATGTGGAGCAATAAACATTTATTCATGAGCAACAAACTGTCAAAACCGTTGGAACATGGACATCAGTTGAAATCAAAATCTTTATTTCAATTTCTTTAACTGTATACTTACATGTTCTCCATATGTTTGGATCGTAAAATGACACAAATAAACAATTTAATTATTTTCAATAATTAAAAAAAAACAAAAAAGCAAGAAAAAAAAACATCATTAAAGAGATAAAACTTTCATTTTTAATAAACTTAGTAATTCTTGAACAAAAATCAAATAAGAAAAAAAATATTCTTTAAGAAATAAATTCATAATAAATTATGTTTACGTAGAAATTTAAAGTAATAAAGTATTACTGCTGTAACCTTGATATGATAAAATCACTTTTCATACCGGTAAAACTATGCGCCCTAACTTCTCGCCTTCTCGTTGCATGACAACGTATCATTTGCGTTTTGCGGCTTTTGCATTTAGTTTTTACTGCAGAAAATAATCTGTTATATTACTACAATCGTGTTCCTATTAAACAACATTATTGTTGAATTAATAACGGTGTGTAATATAAGAACAATATTTACGAAACAGTGAGAMAATTGTAGAAAAGCTATTTTAAGCCACCTAAAACGTAAAAAACAAAATGTTTTTAATATTTTTCTTTATTTTATTTAAAACACATATAGTAATCGATCAATAAAACACTTATAAATGTTTTGTAAGTGACTAAWTAATAACATAAATTAAATTATTGTAGATAAAGGAAACGTAATTAGGCGTTTTTAATTCAGTTTCTCTGAATCTACTGAAAATAGAAAAGCACTGACCTCTCCTACCAGAATTTTTAATATATTAAATTCTAGTGTRATATCCTCCTGCAAAATATTTTTTTACAAAACTATTTATAAAATTTTACTCTTACAAAAAAAACTATTCTGTTTATGGCATTGCTTTCCAAAACACACCAATTTAATAACACGATCAAAAATTAAAAGTGTTATCCCATTTCGCCATTGAACCCTTGCCAACCATCCTTTTTAGCTCTTTCTTCTTAAAATTACATTCGCAAACGTAAGCCACGTCCGCAATTAGCCCCACTGTGCAATAAATAACCCACTAGGTATTCAGATAAAAACAGCATCCGCTTTCTAAGTTTATCCCAAATTTTGTTTATTCAGATTTGAAAGAATCGCTAAAATTCAGCAAAACAACAGCACGATAAACACTTGCTTTGGCGGTCACAGAGCGAGTACAACGACGCCTGAAGGACTTCGAAATACGTCCCAGTTATTCGCTATTTTAGTGGCAAGTAAACCTCCACCGCTGTGTTTCCAAAAGCCACTCACAACCCAGGAATTTTAATTATATTTTTGATTTCGATGCGTTTGCGTCGCTATTTACAAATGTCAAAYATTTAGCGTTATTAGCGAGATCCTAAACCAAATATTTGATGCGCAAACTACCGGTTCTTTTTTATGAATATGAGTGTACATTCTGAAAAATTTTGTAAAGTTAAGTAAATCTCACATCCGGTGTAATAAATGTCTAGTTATTGTTACTCAAACGTGTTCTAAATTTATAAACGCGCTAGGTTTAGGAACTGCTAAACACTCTCGTACAACCCGGAACTAAGATGTATGCACTCTATTCCGGTGAGAGTTTAACCAAAATTAATAACAAAACAAAGCGTTTTACCTTTAAAAAATAAGCTTTTAATAACTCATAAAATATTTAAGGTTCTGAAGCACCTTTTTATTTATAAATAACTTTATAACACTTTTTATATATTTTATAACTTAAAGCATGAGTCGTTTCCAAAAACAAATACATTTGTTATTTTAATATTGATTTAATTGTTATTTTCATAAACAAATATAAATATTAATTTACAACTCTGGCGTAAAAAGAGTTTACGAGCTTGCCAACTAACAAAATGCAATCAGAAAGTGACACGCGTTTTGCAGACACAATCATAAAAATTGATGAAAAGTGTTCCCTAATTTATTAAAATACGAATACAATCAATAAATCTACCACTCTCTGAAATTTATGAATGACATCAGTACAGCTAGCTGAAGCTGCCTGAAATAATTTAGGATGGTGTAATAAAAATATCTTCCTGATTTCTTTGAATTCCCCAATCGGAAGTTTGATTGATAAGATTTCATGTAGTAATTTTTTTGCTTTACTAGAAATTTTTATCGTTTTGTTGTAAGCTATTCTACGAAATAAAAAGTACACAGTAGAATGATAACTAAAATACATTGACATATAAATATTTAACGTGGAGCAATTAAGTAGTGTATTTAATACTGACTCACAAATTTAAGCTAAATATTATACCAAACAAMACATAAAACTCTATAAGTCAAGAAGTTCTCAAATTTAAACAGTTGATAACACTAAAAAACCTTTGATACATAAAAGTAGCAACAACTTTTGAAACTTTGGACTAGTTATACGCAATTTTACTATAGTTATTTATTCGACGAGTTTGAGTGTAAATCGGACGGGTTATTTCACCGGGTGGGTTATTAAACCACGAGTGGTTTATCATCCACGAGGTGGAATAAAGCGTCCGATTTACACTCAAACGAGTTGAATGCAACATTTTATTCTTCGAATTAGTCTCAATAAGGCTTAAACTTGCTTTAAATCTGTTAAAAATAATCTGACGTTTCGTATTGAGAAATGCCAAACAGTTGTCAAAACTTCCTTACACGGGAGAAAAACCGCAAATTTTTACAGTGTCGAAGAATAAAAATTATTATAATAGTTATTATGAAGTAACACATTTTTTTTAATTTTTTTAGAATGATCAATTAAAACAAAAAATTCTCAAACATTCAAAATAAAAAAGACTGAAGAATGAAAGCATTCTCTTACATAACTAAATGATGACTTTTTCCATAATGTACACAAATTTACGTAACAACTGTTTAGTTAGTAATATTTAATAAAAAAATAAAAAAACCGCCTAAGAAGTTATTAAGCTTTTATTAAAATGAAAGTGTAATTTTGACTTTTCAAAAACACGTGGCAATTCTACATTTTTATTGGTGAATTAAAAACGTTTACTATTATAATTAAGCTCAATTTCACGTGTCGTAAACACTAATTGCTAATTACGTGCAACAAATTTGGAATTTGTCCATAAACTAGCACACAAATATAAAGTAAGTAAACAGTAAACACAAGGATTATCTGCAACAAAATAATAGCGTTCCTCAATAATTTTAAAACAGCCGTAAAGTGTCTCACTGTTCTAAATTTATAATTGCACAACAAAAATATGTGCTAAGTTTTAATACTTGCATTTGCCATTACATTTTATTATTTTATATAAAGAAAATGACGTAATTTTGTAAAAATAAAGTTTAGTTAACCATTCTGATTTAGCGTCGTAAATGTTATTCTATTGGACTATTATAGCTTGCATTACTTAACGAGCTTCTACTCTTAGATAAATAATTTTAAGTTTAGTCGACTTTTAAAAATACTCTCACAATTGAGACTAGTCTATTTCTATTGTCAACATCAATTTTAAGAAAAAGAGAGTAATTTGCCAAATAAAATCCACAATTTATTTATTAATTTAAGAACATCAGCGGAGGTCGAACCACTTTTTTTCTCTCCATGTCCATAAAACGCATTGACGCAATCCTTACCACACGTGCAAATATTTCAGGATGAAAAATATTCAAATCGTGAAATATTTGCAAATTCACGTGTTTCATCTCTTTTGTATAAATCTATATTAGGTGGCAGACTGTAAGAGACAGTGGGTGAATGATGAAGGAATAGATGATAGCTTAGTGGTCTCCCCCATCTGCGGCACGTGGATGTGGCCCACATTGATCGTGATGGCGGGTGCGCATAACGTTTTGCTTCCGAAAAATACAAACCTTGAAACCAGACATAAATCTTGCCACAGACAAAAATATTTCACTTTGCTAAGTGCGACATTTGACCGGCACCTCCACCAAAATTGCTCAATTTTGAAAAGCTAATATCTAAAGTTTTTGATTCAAGTTGTAGACAGAGAGTCGTATTTTAACCAAATGCGCCCTTTTTCAAGAATAAAATTTTTGCTCAATTTTTGACTTTAAGCATGCTTGAGATGAGATGTATTTAAAGATAGGCTAGAGTTCTGTAGCAGGGTTGTACTCCTCATACTGTAATTCATTTTGTCGATCATTTATTTTGTACAAGAGTTTCATTTTATACTGGCTATTTGCCAAGTCTTACCAAAATAGGACTAATGCTCTAGATCTTTACAGACATGTTCATTAATATTTAAATTACTTAAAAGTACTATATAATATGTACTTACAAAAAAAAATAAATAAAATCATTAGCAATGTTGCCGTGGCTTAAAATTTTAATTACAGATTACTCATAATGAGAAAGAATAGAAAAATTCCGTAGTACATAATAGTACACAAAATACTCTTATCTTGGCATTTTAATAATTTTGAGATTATTTYAATAAATTTCTTTATTTCTGAATTTAGTAAAATTTTTGATTTAAAAAATATATCGTCAGTCACAAAGTAATTTATAAAAGAGCGTATATTAACGATACCAAAGAAACAGTAGAAAATATCAGTGTTGAAAAAATTATTTAATTAATATGTTACTTAAAAGGATACATTTATTTTTTTAATTATAAAACAAAAATATCAACGTGAAATCAAAAATTATAACATTTGCTGAATTTTAACTGAATTAACTCTTCCTTTGCTCGAGACAAAATTTTGTGCAATTATAAATTTCGCAAAATTCAACAATTTTGATGTTTATTTCTTTTAGCTTAAAACCTGATGTTTAGTCGAAAGTGAAACAATACGATAAAATAAATCAAAAAATATGATTAGGCTCAAAGTGCTTTTATTTGTTATGTCACTTTTACGAGGGAACAAAGTGACAGAAATACATTTCTGACCGTTTCCTGTTCTACTTAACAAAAAATATGGCTTCAAGGTTTTTGCTTAATGCAATATCAATACGAGTAAATTCATTTCTACTAATCTCTATTTTCGACAAAACTAAAGTAGTACTTAAATGCTTAAGAATCAACGACTATTACGATAAAATCTCCACCACCAAAATTTGAACACACGCAACCATGACAAAAATTCTGTTTCCAAGCAATAGTTGGGCTTTTATACAGAGTGCGCCAGAACTCGCGCCCCAGAGAAAAATGTCATATAAGGTAAGATACCAGGAACATGGAAAAAATGTTAAAAAAATTTTATCTATAAAAATTTCGAAGTTATGAATGAGGGTTTAAAGTTTGCACTTTGACACTATTTATTTCTGTTGGAAAAATATTTTTTTTGCTATAGTCTATTAAAAGAGGAAACAAGGAAGCTGTATCCTAAATTGTAACTCTGTTCAATGTTATTTGTGGTTTTTATTGGCAAAATTTTTGTCCGTTTACTAAATAATTGTAAAAGAACATATACAAGATCATCAGTATCATTAAATAGATACAAAAAAATTTCAAAAAATGTCAAAAAATAAATGTCAAAAAAATAGAATTTTTTAAACATTTTTTTCATGTTCCTGGTATCTTACCTTACTTGAAAATTTTCTCAGGGGCGCGAGTTCTGGCGCACCCTGTATATTAAACTTGAATCTATCATTTCACAATTCTGAATTTAATCGCGCCATCTCAATGCCCTTAAAAGGTTAATTTCCTCCCGCGTACTCATTCAGTTCGTGGAACCAACAAAAGCGTATTTTTAACAACGATGATTCAAATTTAATCTGTTTACTACATGAATGAATAAAGCTAGAAGAATGGTGAATGAGATGTTTCATTTTTGGAGAATCGACTTACCATCGTCGGCGTATGTTTCAGACCCGTAACCGTCTTGTAAGCCATTCGCCCATGTTCCTTCGTATTTGGCCGTCGACGTGTTTGACTGTCGCACTCCATATCGTCCTTTAAAACCCTGCGTCCACTCCCCCCGATAAATCCATCTACCTCGAGTCTCCACACCAAATCCGTGTCTTTTACCATTTTGCCATTGCCCTTCGAAGCAACTCCCACTGAAAAATTTTTAGGCAATTAGACGTAAATTATCGCTCTCGGATGGAAATTTATCTTGAAACGTGTGGGCTAAAGCAGCGCTGCAAAGATAATTCGGGCAATCGAACCACTTCAGCCTTAATGGCTTCCTTAATTACGACAAAAAATTTAATGCAAAATATTAAGTGTCATACTGTCACTTTCCTTAATGGTTCTTAAAATTTTAACATTATTAAGCATCTAAAAATTGAATAATTTCTAGGAGTCAGTAGAGAGTTTTCTAAGAATGAGAATACATAAAAAATAATAAACCACCGACATTTTTTATGAAGAAAAAAGTCTAGCAATAAAAATAAGCTTATTTTAAAAGAATTTAGTGATGTTTCTAATAAAAAATTAAAATAAAATTCAAAAATAGTTTTTTTGTAATGGGCCCTAAATTAAACGAAGTGGTCCGTAAAATAACCCAAAATAATACTTTCCCAGACTCCCATGTACGTGCTGTGTAATGTTGATTACATAGTTTTTAAAATTGAAAATATCACGATTTCAAAAAAAACGTAATGTAAACCTCTACACTGAAGCTATTTTTTAATAAACTCCATATTCGTGATAAAAAATCAACTTTAATGTTTTGTGGTAAAAATAACTATTTTAGCACAAAATTCAATAATTTGTGTTTATAAAAAAATGCAACAAAAATGTGATAAATACGCTTTATTAAAACTATCAGTACAGTGCATTTGTTAACAATTTTAAGAACTTTTTATTTTATTTTCATTCGGAATACATCTGAAAAGATAATCCCTCAATTCCTGCGCTGACATGCAAGGCCCTCCATGGAATTTTAACACTGGAATAAAGAAAGTTTCAGCGTGGAAATTAAGACCGTGCTTGTCACCACTTTCTTCACACATTTTTTTTGGAGACGGCGTAGTCGTTGGTTCAGAAGAAGGAGGAGGAGGAGGAGGAGGAAATGTTGAGGGTGGACTTTGAAAAATTGGTAAAGTAGTTAATTCAGGTTCTTCAGGTGTTGTTGTTGTTGTTTCTGGTAAAGGAAAAAGAGTAGGAACTGGTAAAATATCGGTGATAAGAGGAGGTGGCACAGTTGCTGGGGGCGGAGTAGCGGACGATGTTTCTGCCACTCTAGGTGGAAGAGTAAAAACAGTTCCAGAGGTTGTTTCTGTTTCAGACGAACCTGAAGAAGACTCTGAAGAGTCAGGCACAATAGTGGTGGTATACAGTGGTATGTAAGGAGAAATACCGGAGGGAAAACTAAGTGTGTAATCTTCTTCAGTACTCGTAGATTCCGAAGAACTAACTTCAGRTGAACTTTCCGGAATTGTTTCTGTCGGTGTCAACCATTTCAAAGAAGAAACAGTTGTACTTTCTTCTCCCTTTRGCGTAGTGGCTTCCGTTGTTGGAGGTTCTGTGATAGTTTGCGCTTCAGTTTTTTGAGAACAATTCGTCACTTCCAAAAGTTGTTTATACTTTTCAGGAGACACTTCAAGCGGTTGTTGGCCGCCGCAACTAACCAGGTGACTAATAATGTGTAAAAGATGATTTAAAAGACAAGACTGTTCTGATAAATTTAAGTTGTGGGCAGTTTTGCAGTTACACACTGGACTTGGTGTAACTATTCCTACTGCCAAAACTGTCACAAATAAAGACCACACAAACCGCGTCAAATCCATAATAAACTGTCTCCATCTCAAAGAAACTTCGTCCTTTTATAGATTATTATTAAAATTGTGCGTGATTGTAAAAGTGTTATTGAATGTTTATTTACAAACTCGGTGAAATGGGAAGGTCGTGGACGTTCTTAGCTGACCAAACGCAAAATACAAGTTTCAATGAACCCGACGAATGCAGCAAAACGAATGTTCTGCACTTCTTGGAAATGTTGTAATAATAAGATTTTTCCACTCTTGTCGCGCCTGTATCGTTATTGAGAAAACTTGTCCAAAATTACTCATTCCTATTCTGAGAGAATCCGTAATTTTCTTTGGAACTCAACTAGCGCACATCCTCTCACATCTGATTGTTATAAAAGTAACCTCTAAGTTAGTGCAGTTCTAAATTTAGCCAGCCCCACACTACTACATCGACGAAGATGCTTCTGACGATGTCGGTTACTGTCTCTAGCCCGACATGGAAGCAAATGATAATCGACAGTTCTGCCATAAAATATATGAGAAACTGACAGATTCTTAATCAATATTCGCGCTGTTCTTGATTTTGAATTCAGCAAAAGTAAGACAACGTTATTAATTTACAAGACAAAACGTGAGTTGAAACTTTAGCGACTCTCCAAACAAGAATGGCGGTAAAAATAGCACAAAATAATTCCTTTTAGTCGCACTTTACCGTAACAGGTGCTAAGGACAACACAACTAACACCCTGAAATTTTCCATGACTTGAATTGATGCTTATGCACGCTTTTGTGAAAGTAAACAATGCATTTTGTTATTACGACACGAATTAAGTATTGAGTAAACCACGATCGTGATCTGGATGTTTTTATTGTAGGATTAATGCCAGAAATGGATTCTTTACTTAGTTATTGACAATTGAATCAGTTGTAAACCATTTTTCGTAATTATTTAAAAACATTTTCACAAAGTTCACTGAATAATCCAAGATAAAAACCAGACCAAAATTAAGAAAAAAAATCTATTCGACTGCAATCGATGTCAATGTTTACATAGCTCTTGACGCATTTTACCGATCGCATTAATTGGTTTACCTTTCTAACAGGCATAGATTATGATCAATACATCGTTTTTAATATATTTAGAAGTAATCATTTTAGTAGTAAATTAGATAATACCGTCACGTAATAGTTCGATGTTCTTATACAAACTTAAAAGAGAATATTGGATGTTTACACGAAAACAAATTAAACTAAGGATTAGAATGTGAAACCCTGCAATGAAATTAAGGACTCTACGGTCATCCTAAATTTAGATAACATTAATATTGTAGGTACATACATCATGGTCTTACATAATTTAACAAAAAAAAAATATGTTGTTATAATGTGACGCAAAATCAATTTTGTAAATATCCTTGCTTTTAATCTTGCGACAAAACCATATTCATATTTATGTATTTACTGTGCTACGTAGTAATTAATTATTACGAGCGCCTAGTAAAGTAAGCTGAGCTAATTACTAGGAGTACAAGTACTTTAAATGCATCTCTTTCAAATTAGTGTTATTGTAATTTCGAAGAAAAAAACTTTTCTCAGCCTCAAATTGTAGAATGATTTATTTATCGAGTGTAATAAATTTTGAGTACCTATTCTGTATTTTAAATTAGAAACATGTATAAGATAATTTTCGTGTTTCCCTTTTATCTTTTATAATTAAAAACAAATAAACCTGTAATAAAAGCAACTTAATGTTTACTGTTATCCCTAGTAGTTATAACTTTTAATTAAAAAATGCACGAACTAGTAAATAAATTGAAAAAGAGAACAAAATCTAATTTGAGTTATTTAAAGTAAAACCCCTTCCTCATACCTCACGAGAGTGCAACTATCAAAAAAAAGTGTACAAAAAACATAGAAGCAATCAATTAATAATTTATTTTTATTGAGTAAAATTAAGACACTGTATATTTTAGAGATAGTTSGAAGAGCAGAAATTACGTTCAATTTTGCCACTGCAGCATCAAAAAGAAAGTTATCACCATTGAGAGGTAAAATCCTCAGCTACAGTTTTTTACAAGTGGCCAGAAAAAAAAACTATGTATGAAAATAAATTCATGAAATTTTTTGCAGCAGTAACTCTGGAAATTCAGGGGAGTCAAATTCGAGGAATTAAAGGGAGTCAATTATTATTTTGCCAATTAAAATTTTACCTTTTTATCTTAAAATCAGAACAAAATCCTTGAAATACACTACTCCAAAAAATTAAAGAAAGAAAAGAATGTTTTAAATTTTTTGGTGATTTTTGAAAGGCTGTATCTCATCGAAAAATGGTCGTATCTAGATTTAAAAAATGCACTTTGAAGCTTTAAGTTTTTAGTTTCGATATCTTTTAACAAAAACTTTTTGAGCTACGTTTATCACACAATCTTCAGAAATAAAGCAAAATTTTTGTTTTGTTTTTAGTCCACTGACAAGGATTTTTTGTGGTTAAGTCAATGTATGGAGCATGTACGTTCACCTTTAATATGCTTTTTTCATATTCCCTTTAGGTCAATTTGTCGCTGAAATGTCTTTTAATATTTTTTTTTTATAAAAATCCTTTTTAATAAAAAAAATCTTTTATCTTTTATCCTAGAATATCTCAGCAACCCATGACCCCACAGAGAATGTAAGGGTGGTGCCTTACTTAGTATTCTTCATTACAAATCAAACTTAATAAACACAAAGTTAATGCTTAGAATGTATGTATGTATGTACATACAATGTAATATGATTTATAATTAAGATACATTTTACTTTATTTCTGCTCTCTTTTAAATAAAAAATACTCAATAGGTACAATAGGTTAAAATATACAGGGTTATTCATAAATATGAAGCAATATTTGAACCTCAAAAATGACCTATAAAATGATGTTAATTTAAATAATAACTCGTGTCCTATCTCTGCTGATAAGAATTTTACAGCCCTCGGAATGTGGGTATGGAAATTTGATTTTTTTGTAATAACTTTGGAACTATTTGACCAAATATTATAAAATTTGGAACATTTCCCTGTGTRTGTGGAACATACCCTTTAAACGGTAATCACGAAAACCGGATACATAAACTCAATTTCCGGTTCCAGCAGTTGCAGGTCACATTTTCTGTGTTTTTCCAATTTTTTGCTCTCTTAACACCAATTTTTWATTGCCCAAATCGATAGARTAATCAATTTCGATTAAAAAACGCATAACCTTTAATACCCCTAAAATGGACCGTTTCAAAGATATTTTAATTTAAACTGAGGACTGCACAACGCTGAAACCAAAAAGTAGGGATTTTGAATGGATGATATCCATGGTAACAAATGACCATGGTCTCACTAATCGCTGTCAGGCATCTGTCAACTTGGACATTGGACGCTTATTAGATAATCGAAAATATTTAATAAAAGAGTTTACCTCAGATTCCAAACATAACTTAGAATAAATCCAAATGGATCTCGTAGCATTTAATTCATAAAAAATTCACAAAAATTTATTGTCAAAGTTAACAGATGCCTGGCAGGAATTTATGTGACCATGGTCACTGGTTGCCGTGGATACCATTTATTCAAAATCCCTATTTTTTGATTTCAGCGTTGTGCAGTCCTCAGTTTAAATTAAAATATCTTTGAAACGGTCCATTTTGATCACTCTATCGATTTGGGCAATAAAAAATTGGTGTTAAGAGAGCCAAAAAATGGAAAAACACAGAAAATGTGACCTGCAACTGCTGGAACCGGAAATTGAGTGGATGTATCCGGTTTTCGTGATTACCAGTTTAAAGGGTATGTTGTCACAGGAAAATGTTCCAAATTTTATAATATTTGGTCAAATAGTTCCAAAGTTATTACAAAAAAAAAACAAATTTCCATACCCACATTCCGAGGGCTGTAAAATTCTTATCAGTAGAGATAGGACACGAGTTATTATTTAAATTAACATCATTTTATAGGTCATTTTTGAGGTTCAAATATTGTTTCATATTTATGAATAACCCTGTATAATAATACAGGGTGATTCTTAAATAGACCGACAAAATTTTATCACAACTTCCTCAGGATAAATGGAGACAAACTTTACCCTTTTTATGTTTATACCTTTTAGGGGCAAAACCCCCTTGATCCGTGCCACTTACGGCGTTTATGAATTGTTGCAATAGTCAAGTACGTTAATACCATGGTTACCACTACCTGTGCTAACACATCAGTGGCGTACGCTTTACTTTGAAAATAAATTTAATAAATTTTATTTGAAGAACGTTTAAACAAAGAATTTTTTAAATATTTTTTCCAGCATGTTCTCATTTGATACTACCAAGGATAAAATTTTGTCGGTCTATTTAAGAATCATCCTGTATAATACAATAGGTTAAAAGATGTAGGTACATCTAAACAAATAAACAAATAAAAATAAACAAATGTTTATTCTAAAATCTTCTGAGATAAAAAATAAATTTATGAAAGTACTTGAAATGTAATCAATGGAACAATTGTTATAAGAAAATTTATTTGAACCAAATACGTTTTCGAAACATCTTTTCATGAATAAAACTTCAGGAGGTTGGAGGTGGTTTTGAAATAGTATGATCTCTAAATTACTGAAATATGCGTAGAAAATTTCTGTCATACTTCATACTTCCTATGGTGCAGGTCCGCGATTTATAACCTGTARTTTCGGGTTCCCGAGGGTTCAGAACCGTTCCTAAGAGTTTACGAAATTTTTCACATTAAAGCTTTCTAAGTAGGTAGGTAATAAATAAAATGTAATAACAAAATAAACAAAAAAAAAATAGAAAATTTCTACGAAAGCATTAATTAAACATAGCAACATGTATTTTTTGATTTTTTTTACGTCAGCAAATCAGTGATAGGGCATAGAGTGTTTTCATCAGTACCTAATAAAAAGTTAAGAACCGCTGGCTTTGTTGTAGATTTTTAATTTCCATACTGTATAAAATACAATCATAGAAAAACATTTCAAAAACCACAACATTTTGGTGTTTAAAATTTGTTCTACAAAATTATTGATAAAGTTCCTTAAAAGCTCTCTGCTACATAAAACCCACCAAAAACCACCTGATGAATCTGTTGAATCTTGTATTTTCTGTGTTAGTTTTAGTATCAGTAGAAAGTAAAAGCTCTTTTTGATAAAATTAAATGCTCAGTTTGAGCTGCCTACTGAGTTATCGGTTCTATTTTTGCTTGCGCATATCTGGAGACTTGCTGAACTAGCTCCAAGTGGTCAAGAAATAATTTCGAGTGTGCAAAAGGCCTTTGAAAGTCTTGTAAAAATTGTAAAGCGTGACGTTGTTCGCTGGCATGCGTGTTGTATTACCTCGGCCAAGTATAGACCCCGGAGACTTCGAATCCGTAGTGCCAGGAGCCGGAGTAGGCCCCCTGACCCTTGGGGCCGGTGCAGACGCCGTGTCCGTGGGCCTTGCCGTCCTCCCAGCCGCCGCAGTATGTGCCCCCGTCATCGAAGTCGAAGCGGCCGCCGTTCACGTGGCTCCGGGTGGTGGCCGTGCCCGTGGCCCCGGTGGCCGCGGGGGAGGAGCCCCCGTTGTCCCCCACCTGGTTCGCCTGTTGCATGCTCACCACGCACCGTCACTCACCCTCGTCATCACCACTCACAATGTCGTTGTGCGTCTTGCACGCTAGAGCTCGCTCTTGGCTTCGGATATTAATAAATATCAGCTCGGCATTTCGATCGGTCGTGTGGTAGTCGGCGCGGCACTGGCTGGTCCCCCGGGTCCGGCCGGGCGCACCGTCCCGACGCCAGCGACGCGACGCACGCGCACTCTCACATAGGCGCCACCACGCGAGCGACGCTTTTTTCAGCTCGGACCACGGCGAAATTTCTGACCTCAAAACAATCCGAGATAAATTATTACTGACGATTATCCAAGGTCCCCAACCATTGTGATGAGACTATTTTTAGGGATTCCAATCCTTCGCACAGGATGTTAGGACAAGACACACATACACATTCGATCACTCACAGACGAGAGACTCGCACTCATAATTACTCAGACGCCTAGATAAACAATTTTTCATTTAGGTTGGTTGCATTATCTATAATTAAACGTGCGGAAAATTTTAGAAAACACCTCTAGAAAATAAAACATTTAAACAACTTACACTTTTCTCATTGGTTTCTTTGTCATATGATTTAATACAATATTCTTTTTTTTCTGTTTAACCGTGTTTAACTTACCTAGTTCTTGCTTATTATATTTTTACATGCGCTTTTTGTTTATTTATTTTATTCTTAATAACTAAATCAATATTTCGTTGCAAATAAATGAAATACTTTAGAATTATGAAAAATAAAAAATCTTGCGAAAGTTGACAGGCAACCAACATTACCACTACTTAATTTCTCCTCTTTCTTTGTATAATCGTCGTTRTTTTACATTCCCGATATCACTGTATCTGTAGTCTACATTCTTTATAATGCATCAAGTGATGAGATTTAGGAAAAGAAAAACTCTTAATTGTGATAAATAGAATAAAATTTATTTACAGAAAAATAGACCTTATGTCCAATAACAATGAACATGCTATTACATTACTGATATATAAAAAAGTAAGAAATAGATTTCCGGTATAAAATAAAATATTCCGAAAGGTGTAAGGCACACGTTAATACATCGTTCAATTGCGAGGATAGAATTTCTTGGAGTTATCCCTTGCCATATCCACCAAAGTTTGGGCCGGTTGGAAAGGTAATCCGTAAGCTTTCTGGAATTCCTCCATTTTCCTAACCAGTCTATCAGCACCAAAAGAATCCACCCAGCGGAAGGGTCCGCCGGTAAATGGTGGGAAGCCCAGTCCAAATACTGCTCCGATATCTCCCTCAAGAGGATTCGCCAAAATCTTCTCTTCCAAGCATAAAATCGCCTCATTTACGAATCTCGACACCATCCTCAACTGCTTATCCTCATCCTCGAACGAGCCTCTCGGTTGAATCGAATAGCGTTTGATAATATCCATCGCTTCGTAGTTCACGTTACGGTTTTTGCTTCCTTTTTCGTAAACGTAGATACCTTTGCCCGATTTGCGACCCAAGAAACCGGCCTGGACAATATCTCTCATGACCCCCATATCACCTCCTCCGAATCTTTCACCAAAGGCTTTGTGGAGGTCAGGACCGATGTGTGAAGCGACGTCCAAACCGACTTCATCGGCCAAAGTGGCAGCACCTACGGGGAAACCGAATTTTTTCGTCAATGAATCCAATTCTTTGGGATCGACACCCTCTTGGAGCAGTCTTACAGATTCTGCCATCATGGCAGATAAAATGCGAGTGGTGTAAAAACCAGGGCCGTCTCCAACGGTAATAACAACTTTTCCTTGCTTCAGACCGACGTCCACGGCGAGGGCAGTGGTGTCTTTGCTAGTTTTATCAGTTGTAATTATTTCCAAAAGTTGCATCTTGTCGACGGGAGAGAAGTAATGCATGCCTGCAAAAAAGTTGTTTTGTATTTGTAATGTTAGTAGTTTGGGAATTTATATTTTGTTACCTATAACTTTATCTGGCCTGGAAGAAGCTGCAGCAATTTTGGAAATTGGAATAGCGCTAGTATTTGTTGCAAAAACGCAGTGTGGAGGAATAATCGCTTCGACTTCTTTTACGACTTTATGTTTGATATTTAGATCCTCAAAAACTGCTTCGATGACAATATCAGCATTTTTGAAATTTTTGTAGTCTAGAGTTGCGTCTAGATTTGACAAATAGCGGTCTCTTTCCAAACTAACAACATAAAAATTATATATTTTCGCCTAGAGAAAAAATAAAGAGATACAGTACCCAGTAAACCTCTTTCTTTTCACTGCATTTTGCAGACCTGTTTGAATCTGACCAAGACCACGTGCCAAACCCACCGGGTTTGTGTCTTTCAAAATAACATTGTAGCCTTTATCAACTGAGACGTGAGCTATACCGGCACCCATTAAACCAGCTCCCAAAACCGCAACAGTTTTAACTTCTCTTGAGGGTTTTCCAAATCGGTTTTTCTTACACTGTGTTTGGCCGCGGAACAAACCCATTAACCCTTTAGATTGTGGAGTCATTGCAAGTTCGCCGAAAGCTCGAGCTTCAGCTTCGTAACCGGCTTTTGGCCCTTTATCAATTCCGGTACGAATAACTTCCAAAATCTATAAACATAAATTTAATGCCACTGAAATCGCTACTAAAACAAAACAAAAATTACTTTGAGTGGAGCTGGATATAACCCTCCCGACATTTTCATAACTTGAGCTTTGGCTTTCCCAAAAATCTGATCCTTGACCCAATTATATTGCAAAGCAAACTCCAAAAGCCTATCTGTGAGATTAGACTTCTTCCTGTCGACTTTCAATTTTCCACTGGCCAACCGTTTGGCAACATCAACCGCCACCGATTCCAGATACTGCCTCGTGACAGTTTCAGGGTCGCTCAATCCCGGTCCCAAAGGATCGACCAACAAATCAACAATTCCCACTTTTTTCGCCCTATCTGCTTTCAATGTCTTTCCGGTCAAACACATGTCTAAAGCGTTCGGAACGGTGCTTAGACGTGGCAAACGTTGGGTGCCTCCGGCTCCCGGAAGAAGCCCCAACATAACTTCCGGTAAACCCAAACCGGTTTTTTTGTCCTTAACTGCAATTCTGTAATGGCAGGATAATGCAACTTCTAGACCACCACCGAAACATGATCCTTGAATTGCAGCTACAATCGGCTTGTTGCTGCTTTCGATAGCCGACAGCATTTCTTGACCCTCGCGTGATATCTTGGTAGACTCTTCGGCTGACTGACATTTCTCCAACATACTAATGTCGGCGCCTGCGATAAAACAGTTGGGTTTAGAGGAGATTAATACTGCGGCTTGGATCTGGGGGTTGGATTCAATCTCGTTCAGGACGGAGCCAAATTCGCCCATTACTTCACCATTTAAAGTGTTCACCTAAAATTGACAAGAAAAATTAAAAAATAAATAAAAACATGTTTCATAAAAATGATGCTTTAGCTTTTTAAGTTCATCTTAAAACTAGAAAAAGTTCAAAACAAAAAGTACAAAAACTGTGTATTTATTTTTCCATACAGCTAGTTTCCAGTTTTCTAAGCTTTGTGCTTTAAACTATTACGAATAAAAAAAAAGATAATAGAAAAATCTAATTTTGCTTATTGCGTTGTTTTTTTAGTTATACATCTTTAACCCAGTTTTTTTGTGTAAAAATTTCCTCCCACAGAAGCTGTTTCCAGGACAAAAATTTAATTGCACTTACAGAGGATCCTGTTGCAACATCATAAAATTGTGCGACTTAATTTACTTTATTGAACTTAAGAAAAAACAATTTCTTGCCAGATAATTTATTGCAAAAGATCATTCTTCGACCAACAGCTTCATTTTATATTCAATGACACAATTTTTAACATTCAATAAAAACGCCACAGTATCGTCGACAAATTCTTCGAATTCTCGACAGTATTTCTCCGGTTCATTGTCAATACACTTATTCAAATATTTGGCTTCTTTGGTAGCATCTTGCAATTTATCAATGATCCCCCTGTGAAGATTCACGACTTTTTCTTTAACAATTTTAAACTCTTCGGTATTATCCGAGAAACTCTTTTGGTTATACAACATCTCGTCCTCCAATCCGATTGAAATAATATCGTCATTTTTCTCATTTATCGTCGTTAAATGCTGCAACTCGCCACCGCCTAACTCTTTAACCCGATCAGCGTAACGTAACGTATTCAACGTATTTTCGCAAGAACTGACCCCGGGAGACACCATCGCAATCATGCAAGTCTTCGAATTCGTACCAATAAAAGAATCGCGCAAAACTTGCGTCAATTTACTCAATCTGAACGGCAGATGTGCCCCTTTTCGCCCCAAAGCGCGGATGCACTCCTTCAAAGCCAAAAGCGACTTGTTTATCTCACCCCCTTCCATTCTTGTTGTCTTGGTAGATGACAAAGTGTCAGCCCCACGTTCATTCCCCGCTAAATCAATCAAAGAAAATTTCCCATGCAAAGAAGTGATTTTCTTTGCTGGTCGTAAATAAATCTGGAAAACAGCGTGGGAGCGAGAAGAATTTTCATTCGCCGAGGTTTGGCCCGAAGTCCTCGCCATATTTCCGTGGTTGATCAAGTCCAAGACTTCATTTACTGAAGAAACAACCTTTTCGGTGAGACCCACAACTTGAACTTGCTGTTTGCCGTCTTCGAGGATTTTTAAATCGCCTTTTCGGTTCAATAAATCAAGGACTTTGCGCGAATAAATCTCAAAAAAACTGCAAGTCACGATGAGATTTAAATGTCTGTATTTTGGGGAAACAACTAAACGGAAAACGTCAGTTGCAGCCATCGCGTAAATGCCTTTATGTGCATTAGTTCGAAAAATATCGCCGCTCATTGTGAACGTTTTTCCAGATCCCGTTTGACCGTAAGCAAAACACGTAGCAAAACCGCCCTCAAAGACTGTTCTAATCAAGGGTTGCGCCGTGTATTTGTAGACGATTTCGTTGTCGCAATGCTCGTTGAAAGTGTAATCAAATTTGAATAAATGGTTTTCGAGATATTTGGTTAAATCGACTTTTGTTTTCGGTTCGTGAACGATGATTTGGTTTTTGCTCGGTACTGTAATAACGTCGACTTCTTTCTTCGCGATTTCGCTCTTGTTCAAAGGTCGCTTTCTAACGCAGACTGTTATGAGACGGTCTTCTATTACATCATTGACTGTCAAAGGTTTATAGTTCAGATTTTTACAATAATCTAAAATCATTTGGTGTAATTCCCAATGAGGGTTATCGGCGTTCCGTTTGCTCAACTCGACTTTTTCCGCTTTAAATTCCGCTTGTTTTTTTCGTCGTTCCATGCGTTCCAGCTCTAACTTTCCGACTTTCTTCACTACATTACTCTCAAAAGAATTTGACATGTGCTCGATAACAGATCGTGAGGTTTGAGGGTACTTGTCTTTGAGCGAATTTTTCTGTCTCGGAGCGCTACTCAAGTTGTCTTGGGTTATTCTCGATTTAGAAGATTTCACACGGTTATTGTAAACTGCTATAGATTGACGTTTTTTCGGTTTTTCGACTAGTGCAATGTCAGAGGAACACTCACTGAATCTTTGAATGTCTGGTTTTATAGTGGCGATATGAGGGTTTAACCTGGTGACACAATTAAAGTCAATTTCTTTGCCTTTGGTTTCACCTGATTCAAACCACTCAACTCCTACTATATCCAGCTCATAGTTGATGCTGGCTACAATTGCCGGATGTACTCTGCCATCACTTCGCTCAATATTGATTGTAGAACCGATTTCAAGAACTTTCCCATTCATTTTCATTAAAAATAAAAATCAAAATTTTGTTGACAAATACTGTCAAATTTTGTTTTATTACAGGCGTTTAAGACGGATTTGCAAATAAATAAGCTTGTTACCAAAACAGCAAAACTTAAAACGAAGTGATAAGTTGGAAAAAAATTGATAAACACATCACACGTGCCATTTTTGCATTAAATACTCACTTTGACTCCTGGCGAATCTAAAACTATGACTCCAACATTATCCACAATTTTGAGTTTCGTGTGCTTCCTTTCCTGTGAGGCCATGCCGCGAATTTGAGCTGAAAAAGGCAGTTTATCAGTGATATTTTACAATTCAGGTGCAAAGTGCAATACATTAAACGTAAATTGCATTCGTTTAGGAAAATTTAAGGTTACCTGTGTTCTTAAACTTTATGTTAGTACGGGAGATTTTCGATAAAGCTCCAAAAAAACGTAGGGTCGACATTGTTCAAATTTTCATTAAATTTTAGATTAACTATAAACACCAACACTCCCTACACTCCCCAGCTTTTCAAAATGARCCGACTAATGAACTTTGCCCAGTTGGATAACTATTTTATGCATACATGACTTTTGATCATGTGGGTTTGACATTGGTGCTTCAAATATAGAATTCTGTAATAACTTCAAAAAAGTCTCATAGATGGCAATACTTTCTTTAATTAAAAAATAAATAACAAAAAGGGCCTAAAAATAAATTTTTACTAAAATCTGAAAACTAATTCTCTACAACAGTATTATGATATGCCATTTACGTTTTTTAGTAAATTATTTTTCCATAACTATACAGGRTGTTTCACATAACTTTACGAGGCTTGCGCCTAATGTACGCACCCAAATATACAAAAATCACAGAACACTGGATACAAAAAAATACACATTTAATTATTTAATTTTTGGAAACCCATGACAGTAGTTGTCAAACTAATCACTGTTTCATTAATAGTCATAAACTGCAGTTTTTCAGAAACAATAATCATTTGTTCTATCAAGAGACGGCATGAATATGATTGTAGTTTATCTATCTTAATCACTAACTAACTAAAAACGTTGTAATTTTTTAAAGGGTGAACAAACTAGAAAAGATTATCCAATTTTTCAAAATTTGTAATCGAGTTCGTATCGGAATATGTATTATTGATCGCATCTTACAGGAGCAGGCCTCGTAAAATTACGTGAAACAACCTGTATAATAAATAAGCTTACCTGTTTCACAAAAACACAAAACTAAAAAAAAATAAGTGGTGAGAGTAAGCACTTTTATTTAATTCCTTCACAAACCACACTCCTAAAAAGTTAAAAACCGAAGACAATAGTTTCAAACATTCTTTTATTGGTAGACTTTTATATCTGTTCAAAAGTCGCTACTTTAATGAAGTTAATTATTCTTTGAATAATTTATAATGTAATAAAAAATAATAGCAGAAACAATTTCTAACAAATGCCCACAAGTAATGACAATCAAAATGTATTTCTTTATTCTGATAAAACCAATAAATAAAGCAAAAAAATGGTATTTGAAAACAATCGTATTGGTTACCCGTGAAGTGCGTTCAAGAAAAAAACTGTCAGAATCGAGAATTTCAAATTTCCCTCTCTTAAAATGTATCCTTTGCTAATATTCACAAAAACTTAAGATTTTATAGAAAAAATATTTAATTGAAAAATCTTTAAACATAACTAAATAGAAAAATCCATTACATAAACAAGGTTAAAATATCAATGTACAGTTGGAGACAAAATACTTTGGTCGTCACTTTTTTGACACTTTAATGTAATTCAACCTTTAACGTTACAATAAATGACAATTTCAAATTAATGACAGCTATTATATTTTCCTATCAAAAATATGTACATAGAACTTGACAGTAACTAAAAATAAGGTTAACAGTACTAAAGCATGCTTTACCATTTAGTGTCACTCAAGTGACATTGACGACCAAAGTATTTTGTCTCCAAGTGTACGACTACACGCTGACATACATATTTATAATACTTAGGTATATTAAAACATTAACAAAGTCTTTGGTATAGTCTTTGGTATAGTCTTTGGCTTAAGAKAGATCATTGGTTAAAAGAGAATTCTTATAAATATACACTTTCAAATGGCCCGCATTAACTTCTGAAAATCTGAAAACAACACATTTGACAACTTTATAATAATATAATAAAAACACTTACTTTAACTTTCTTACTATCAACCGTTCAATAACAGCTGGTTTTATTTTTGGAACCCCATTCTCACTATGCTTTCCCCGTCCTGTAATAACACTCAAAGCCTTCGTCTTGACATTATCGTCTCTCAAGCCTCCAATTTGATCATCCAGAAAAATATCTAGCACCTCGACCGCCTCCTTGACGTAAAGATGATGAAAATCAATTGTGTCGTTACTTGGATTTTTTTCATAATTTTCTTTTAAAAATGCAGCAGCAGCCCGACGGTTCGCTTCTTCATGCTGCTGCTTCTGTTTTTTTGCTGCTTCAAAATATTCATTCGCAAGCTTATATTTCCCGCCTTGTTTATACTGGTGGGCAATTCGATTCAATTCGCGTTTCTTCTCTAAATGTTGTTGGGCTTGTTCACGGTAAAATGTTGCCGAATGTCGAGCACTACCCTTAAAATACGAATTTTTTGTTATAAATTCGTTTCAGAGAAGGCAACAATATCCCTACCGCGTTGGTAGTCACTTGATGAACTTGAGGTAGCTCTTGAAATACCCTCCGAGTTGCACCCTTTGGCGCACTTGGTGAAATTATTGGGGTCGTAATAACTTGGCTTGGATATTGACGTTCGTTACGACTTCTTTCTTGGAACTCAGTGTATGAAGGACCATCCCAACAGCAAAACAAGTTTCCAATACAGGTGAAAAGAGAGTCAAGAAATCTGTTACAAAGAGATACTTCTTCGGATTCGTCGTTAGTGATTGCAGCGATTGTTGCATTTAGGTGGCCATCGCACTGATAGTACTTCCGTACTAAATATTCCCGAGATTTATTTGGAAAGCGGGTCGAAAGATGGAGAATTGCTCGGGATTCATCCATAATCCTCTATGGATTTTAGTCAACTGTTGGGACATAAATAATATAGGTATATAATAGTAGAGTTGAATTGTTAATTGGTTGCACTGATAACGATAAGAATTATACCATGGAAACATATTTGTTTGAAAATACTGTGTTGAAAATAAACATACATATTATTCAGTGTACCTACAGGCAAAAGCAGAAAATACAACGTATATGTTGCTTATYGAAGCAACGTGATGTTTCGACTGACTTCACTATTTATATAAGATAAATAAATAAATATTGTTTTAGGTATCACACGACTTATCAAATTACTATGTACGAATGACTGAAAAGTAGCACATTTAACAGAAACTAAAAAAAAAAAMACTAAATTTTGTTAGAGAAATATGGCCAGATTATTTATATCACATTTAAAGCACTTTTTAAAGTTAAAACCAATGTGTTAATCAGTATTACTTTTAAAAAATCGCGCGCAAGTGAGTCTCARTGACATGTGATCTAGAAGAGCAAACCGCTGCGCTCAGTTTGAGATCACATGACTTTAAACTAGTGATAAACAGATAATGGAATGAAAATAGGGATACCCATTGGACCATTATATTACACGTCTTGCACGCATCATTCACAGAATAAAATAGGAGGAATGTTAAAAGAATTTTAAAAAACATTAACAATCCAGTATTGGTTGTTGCCCTTAATCGGGCTGTCCCAACCCTGACGCCATGTTTTCTTCTCTCTGTACTTACTTGTAGGAGGTTGAGGAGTTTAAATTTCTTGAGCTAGAGTATGCATTACAGTATATCCTAAATATATACTTCTATATTTTTTATACCTACCTCAATAGGTAATAACAACCCCCACTTTTATCTATTTACACACAGTCTCTACTCTCTACAGGTTGAGTAAAAAGTAAAGTAAGATATGACACCACCGGCACCACCGGCGCAATACCCCACTRGCTAAACTAACGGCACAGATTATCTGGAACCAGATAATCTGTGCTAACGTTAGATGATGCTGAGTAGAATTTCGTATTTTGTTACAATTCCGTCATTATTACCAGTATTTCAACGTTTTGTTAGCAGTATGACAAATATTTTTTAATGTCTATGTATTTAGAAAAATAATTTTGGTTGTAACAAATTTTCATGTACTCGTACTTTTCTTTTCAATTTTTGAAATGTAGTGAGTAAATGTTAAATATAATTTTCTTCTTAATTTGAAAGAATCAAACTTATCAGACCTAAAACTTAT